TAGCACTAAAAGGTGATGGAAATTTAATTATATAAACTAATCAAAACGCACTTCTTGTAGTTTATACGGTTAGATTTGTTTTCGTGTTAATGAAATTTAATGTCGCCCATACAAAGACAGAATAATTCACAAGGGATTTAAACTAATCTATAATTTTACTTATCCATTCACTGAGGGTGTAATAAAACATTTCGATTATGGTTCTGTTATACAAAAAAGGCAAATTCAAACAAAGAAAACAATCTAATTCTTATTATTTAATACTTTAGTGGGAACAGCTATAGTCATATCAATCCAATTTCAAAGGCTCGAATTGTCAAACTTATACAGCTCGTCAATATTAGATACAGTATATTAATCGTTGGAGTGTTTTTTACGCCAGTTCCCCTTTTTCTAAGGATACAACCCAAACCTTGATTTTATCACTATCTAACGTCAGCACTTTGTTAGATAGGTAGCCCAATCACAAAAGGCGTCTGGAAGAATCTTCTTCGCTTGGAATCGGACCAGCGATCTTCAGATTTGAAGGTGAGTTAGAGCCACTCAGCTTTCAAAACAATAGCCTAAACACAATTAAAATCACTTTTGCATCAATCAAAGTCTTTGTAACTTTTCCGACCTAAAATAAAACTTTTACTTCACCACTTCACCGCATACTTGGCATGTTTGCTTGGTATGACATGACGAAGACATGTTTAGTCAAGAGTGTACAAGATTTCCACCTACTCACGTCACTACTGACAATTGACAATGATATAAGATGGCATGAGCCTTAATGGGACTGCCAGACGTAGCACCTCATACAGTACTATGACACATCTGAGATCGATGGAATAGACATTAAAGTCATGGTGAGTGGAACGGGTGGTGTACAGATGTAAATATGATCCATCTTTTGAAGGCAACGTTCAGACTGATATTGCACTTAGGAAAATAAAACTAAAGAAGTGGTAAATGAACGATTGGATATAAACAAGAGTAAACCGTTCATATTCTGTAAACTTTGCATTTAAGCAACGAAGATGTTTACAAAATATGTTTTTTTTATTTGGCTTTGTATAATTGATTGTAAATGGAAATGAGAAATAACACAATATGGGTGGAAATAGTAGTACTAAGTGGTTATAGTAATAGCGCTCGCCTCAAAGTATGAAGGTCGCTGGTTCGACTCCAAGCGAAAACGATTCTAGACCCAAATATAGCATTTTCATTGAGCTATCAATTAATGCACCTTACAAAAGTTCGCGGCTAGAAAGTAACAATAGGAGTGTGTTGGACCATTCCCTTAAAAAAACATAAAAATTGCTAATGTCAGCAGTTTTTGGATGGTTCAAAACTATGTTAATTAGAACTTAAGCTTTTAATAAATAGTCCTAGCTGAAAATAAAGGTAGCCAGTAGCGAAGCTACTCGTTTGCAAAGCACATCACTCCATTTAACAGTCATCCTGTTTAACCAATAGAACTTCAACCGGGACGTGATTGAGCCATGCGAATACTTATGAAGTTAAACGGGCCGTGGGTACAGCTAATAATCAGTATTAACAGAATAAACAAGTAATTTTGTAACTTTCTTACTTACGCACCAGTTCGTATGCTCGTTCATACTTCTTTCTTGAATTTTTCAGGAAATAGGTTTAGTGAAACATGCTTTACAGTTTCTGCTACGTATTTCTTCTAGTGAACACATACATTCACAATCACTGAGTTTATTATTCTCAAACATGTTAGGCCCACTTATAATTATTCTTTCAAATACTACACTTTAGGTTATGTTCACACGAAGCGTTGAACGAAAATAGAATATAAACACGAAATGACAGGTTAAATCGTAGTATCAATAGTCAATCAGCTGATCATATTAATAGTATCTTTAAGTGTTGCCAACCTATTTCCAAGTATACTGGATTACGTGCATAATAAAATCACGCTGTTTTGTGTTGTTTGATTGGAATACTGGTGTGCGCCAAAGTATAAACCGTGCGACAAAGTATAAACGGTGCGACAAAGTAAATGCAACAATTAGCAGCTTTCTGTACTATAATCAGTGCAAGGAAGCCAACTTTGTCGTGACTGTAGGAAAGGGTTATTTTATCCTTGACATTTCTTATACTTTTACCTTAGAAACAGACATAACCAACTATAGTTCCACTATGGTGGAGCAAGGAGATATTTCAACTTAGTAACACTGTAGTTTACCAAGCAAGGTTTGTCAGATGATGACACACATTACCACGACAAAGCCAGGTAGTAAGCGATGAGCTGAGGTAACCTACCTACCTACCTGAGTAACCATTGACCCAAGTTGCCCAACGTCCAACGGGGCCAAAGTGCCCACTTGCGGCCTGCTTGGCAGGATGACACCATTGTGTCAGTGACGAAACTGAGAACAGGTGGGTTACTACTCAAAATTAATGTATGAAGAACCTGCTTTACCTTAGACAGCTTTGCGTTGTTGGTCAGAAAACCACCTAGGAGTTAAGCCCAACACCGTTGTGAACTATAGAATTTTGTTGCAGAACTAGCTAGATTGACACACAATCCCAATTGTTAAAGCCAGTACCTCCACAAATTGAACAAAATCGTGAAATCCACGAAACTTTTAGACATTTCAATTCCATCTTGAAGCTGCACGATATTAGGCTATCATCTTGATAAAATTGTATGTACCAATGTCCCTTATACTAGCAAGTGTTGCAAAATCACTTTTACGACTAGCTCCTTTTCCACTTTTAGAGATAGAATAATGCCGTAGTAACTACTGCCTCACTAAAGTCACTGGCCAACTCATCTATTTCAATTAGTAAACCTTCATAAAGTAATGTGTAACAACGCCCTATAATGATATACTGCTAAAACACAACTCTACATTTTTTCAACGCCATTTCTATATTTAGTCCTTGGAATGACGCAATGCTAACTACCATTCCACCAAAGGCACAGTACCAAGTCATCCATGCCAATTTAACAATCGCAAGTCAGTGGCCACTGGATGACACGATGCTTCGGTTTACAGCTCATCAAGGGCGAGCGGAGCGACGAGAAGTTTATGGGAAGGCTCGCAACTTCCGAGAAAGTCTTCCTCAAGATCGCTTCCGGTGGGACGACCTTTGACCTCGAGGTTAAACATGACCAGATGGCAGTGACCTCACCACCATTGCTAAGGTCTGCGTTGGAGGTCAAGATTTAAGGTCACGGTTATACAACAATGTCGCAATAGCTAGAGAATGGCAATTGCTTCACGACCATCCCCATACGTGGATAAGTTTATATTGCATAACTCTTGTTACTTGAAACATGCGGCTGTGCTGTGAGAAAACCCACGAGCTTCACGACATTTAACCCTCTCCACGTAACTGGATCCGACACACACATGAATCAGTCCAGTCATTTTAGGGGTTTAGGTGGAAATAATTCCCTATAACTATTCAAACCCTGTGAAAATGTGTAAAAATGTGCAAAATGTAGTACTACGTACCTAGTAACGACAAATCAAAAATCAATATTAGTGCGCATGCTATGCTACGGCCGCCATATTTGAAAATGGCGGCCAATGTTCACTTTTCACAATATTTCAAGAATAGTTTGAAATACAGAAACTTTGTTCAAAAAAAGTTCAAGGGCACACAAAAACACATCTTTTAGCGAATTTCCCATATAGGGAATAAGCTATTACCGTAGTACTCATGGTAAGACCTGGACGCGGGACCGATTTTTTTTCCGTTTTGAGGTCCCTAGAGGCCAAAAACACCATCCGTTCAAATTCATATATATATATATATATATATATATATATATATATATATATATATATATATATATGTGTCCGTCAGCACGATAACTCGAGCAAAAATGATCCGATTTTGATGAAATTTGGTACAAACGTGTAAACCTACGTTTATTCGAACGAGTTCGCGATCCAGCATGATCGGACCATGGGAACGGGTGTTTACGGGGGTTTTATGGGGTAAAAATAGGTTTTTCCCATTTTTGACCAAAAAAACATAAAATTTAGCAATTTATTTCCAAACCGTTTTGTAGAGCTTAAAAAAACAAATAATTTAGTATATTGAAGCGTTGTTATGCGCCTAATGGTTACGGAGAAAATTCCAAAAAATTGTAAATTTAAAATTCCCATGTTATTCTTATGGAGAATGAGTAAACTGTTGTAGTTTGCTTGTTTATGAACATATTTTGATCAAATTTGGAAAATGTTTTTATTTCTTACTAACTATGAACGTTTTACAAAAAAAACAGTTTTACCCTCCCTGATGCAGCAAACCTAAGTACTTGTTAAACTAATTCTATTTAAATCGGGAATAAATGCTATATTTTTAAGTAGACATTTCAGTGTAAATCCAATCAGTCAAATGGAAATTCGCTTAGTCTGCAGGTTTGCTGCGGCGGGGGTATTTAGTACTTACAATATTTGGCCTATCTCTATTTGCTATATATTGCCATTCGCCTATTGGGTCTGATGATGATTGGAGTGTCCAATCGAAATCGATCACCACTTACCATCTTTCGTATATTTACCGTCTTGTGAGTAACAGTATTAGCGTAAATATATGTTTTAAGTGTTATAAGACGTATCTTTAATTACTTTCCGTAAATTTAATAACACGTACAATGCTGATCAAGACGTTATGAAGTGTGGAAGTACAAAATACCTAATTTTGGGGGCTGGGGCAAAGTTGTAACTTTGATGAAAAAGTGCAATTTCTTATGTTGTCAATATGTGCTGAGTTTGGTATTCCTACTGCAATGCGTTAAAAAGTTACTTTGGTGGTTCCAGACTTTTGCCTAACCCTGTATACACATGACATAAATGAACTAAGCACTACTTGATATATCCGTTGCAATCTTATATTGACGATGCTTTCTGTAGGTAAATTTAAACTACAAGTAAAACATGTGACTCATTTTTATATGATCCGGATTGCATCATTTTGTTGTATATTAAGCACATTTTGACATAAGTTTGTAAACAATAGGCTAACCATTTTAACCTAAGAATAGTGTCATCATTTCTCATGTATTTTCCAACATTTCTTTAACATTTCAAGGTGTAAAGTAAGGTGGTTTATTAATTACTAGTGGTAGCTTGTTGGTCTGTCGGTTCGTTGGTTACACTATCCATTTCCACCGGATTCAATTGAAGCGCCACATGGCTTTGTCTTGTCCATATTTGCATCTCCGAGGATCCGAAAAATAGGAACGGGAATATCAACGCGACAGTGAATATCGCCACCACCACGGACCGGACCCGCCACTGGACGACGTCGAACTCATCATCTATAAGTATTTGGTCGATTCTGTAGTTGAAGAGAGAGAAGATCGTTCTGACGCTGTACATCATACCCATGAGGAGCCCGGCATGTCGCGGACTGAGGTCAATGGCGGCGGAATACACGACAGGGACTGCAAGACCAATCACGTAGACACCAGCTATAGACAACAACCAGAACATCATGACATCACAACCAGCCAAGCAGCACGCCGCCACCAGCAGTAGTGAGGAGACAAACACACCCACGAAAGTAAACGTTCGCTTAACCACTGTCTTCGACATCAAATCATGTTTGATGATGTAGTCAGTGAGAAACCCACTCATCAACAGAGAGGGGAGGATAGCGACCATCGTCACGGTAGAGCCTTTGCTGAAACTTTCGGGAAGATTCAATACAACCATTTGGTAATCCCCGAAGTTTGCCATTACATTCAAAGTAGTTGCCCAATCTACGGAAGAAAACGCTAAAACGAGACTGAGAAAAGGTGGGGAGGTTACAATCTTGCGCCAAGGGATTCCGTGAAGTTTGTGAAGTCTTGACACTATAGAGCTTTTCTGAGTGATGGTAAGTCTACGTATCTCGTGGCGAGATATGAAAGGACTGTCTTTGGGAGACCTGTGTATAAATATAGCACACAACACTAGCCAAACAAGCCCGACCACACCTGTAGCGTATTCGCCGACACTCCACGAGCTGCTGCCTACGTAGATTAAGTGGAAGAACGCGTGTCCCAGAGCCTTGCCGTAGTACGTGCCAGCTACCACGACAGCGACGAAGACGTTCCGTTCGTAGGGCGAGGTCCAGCAACTGATGAGGCTGATGGTACTCGGGTAGATCGTCGCTTCTCCTACTCCTTCTAGGAAGTTCACGACGGCGAAGATGGTGATTCCGTAGTTGACCATGGTGGGGTGAAGCAGATATTTGAACGTCAATAATGTCATTCCTCCGCCTAGCACGTACTTGGAGTACCCTATGTCGGACAACACCCCAGCAGGGACCATAAACAACAGCTTGCCGGTCTGGAAGGCGGAGTGTGCCACCACGAGTACCCAAGGGTTCCAGTAAATGTCTGGCAGGTAGAACGGCAACGTCCGCTTCCAACTGTGATTGTCGAGATACTTAAACGGACAGGTGTATTCCTCCGGCGGGGGTAGGCTCTCTTGTGTGAAGGAATCCACGACGTTGGATATGGCGTTGTAACAAGTGTTTTTGTAGCTGATGATCGCAAAGGCCAAACTACAAAGGGCACACACGACCCAGCGCTGCGGTACTAGAGATAAAGATGATCTGAGCCAGATAGGCATCTAAGAAAGTGGAGACCTAGAGTGGTTACATGGAGTCATTCTCAATCACGAAATAAATCTGATGAACATGTTTGTAGTAATGGACTGGTCTATTCTGTAATGTAAATATTTACAAGATTAATGTAAACACAATACTTTAACAGCTGCTAGTTTATTTGAGAGAAAGTCAAATCATTGACAAAATAATAAAATCAAAACGTTACTCAGTAAAATTCAACTGAAAATTTCTCAAAGAAAGGTGTTTTCACTATTAAAGCTAAATAAGCGTAGTTAAAACACCTTAAATCTAAATAAGAGAATATTAAAATGGTACAAAATTATAAAAAATAAGAAGAACATAAAAAGCTCTAGTTACATAGTTTACTTACACACTGATACAAGAATAAATGGTGGTGAGTCGGTAGCGTCGCGGACTTCGGGCCCAAGGCAGTAGTGGGTTCGGATCCTGGCCACTGCCACTAACTTTTATCAGTAAAGTTCACCTTTGTACTGTACCGGCTCACCCCTTGCTTTGCTGGATATACGTTCCACGCACAGATCTGTAGTCTATGTGGACGGGCAGATGCAAGCTTAAAAGAGGCCGCCAACCTCTAAAAAAAATATATATATATACCTAGAGTTTTTGTTTTCTTTATCTATATATATATATATATATATGTATATATATATATATATATATATATATATATATATATATATATATATAATCCAATGTATGTTTGTATGTATGAATGTATGTTTGTTTGTTTGTTTGTCCTTTATGGACTCCGAAACCACTCGACATATTGTAATGAAACTTTCAGGCATTATTAAGTATTATTCAAGGATGGTTTGTGTGAAGTTTGGTGCAGATCCCTCAAAAGGGCTCCGCTCCAGTGGCTCTGGAGTTTCCCATGTTGACCTTATGAGTACTCATATATAAATGGAACTAGCTGTACCCGCGGGCTTTGCCCCGTTTTACTTCATAAGTGAGCTCATTCGCATGGCTCAATCACGTCCTGGTTGAAGTTCGTTTGCTACGCTCACTCACCTTTAGGTTGGAGCTCGTTCGCTGCGCTCACTTGTCTTCAGGTTAGCTCGTTTGCTACGCTAACTCGCCTCCAGGTTGAAGTTCGTTCGCTACGCTCACTCACCTTTTGGTTGCAAATTAGATGTCTGTAGTCATAAATTTAAAAAAATAATAGTGTGCTGCACCCTGTTGGTAATCCTTGTAACTTAAATGCTAATTGCACATCATAGAACAGAACCAACTTGTTTAATTGAAACAGCTGTTAAGATTCATTAATTCCATTTAAATATGAGTACTCATAAGGTTAACATGGGAAACTCCAGAGCCACTGGGGCGGAGCCCGAGAGTCCGATCAGAATAAAAATAGCTTAGTTTTCCTATTTAATGCCTAAAGAATCAGTGTACCAAATTTCAGCTTCCTAGGTAAATGGGAAGTGGGAGAATTAGTGATGAGTGAGTCAGTGAGTCAGTGAGGGCTTTGCCTTTTATATATATAGTTTATATATATAGATTAAAGAATCTTAACAGCTGGTTCAACTAAACAATGTGATTCTGTGATGTTCAATAGCATTGAAAAGTTAATAGGTTTACCTACAGGGTGCAGCACTATTATTTTTTTAAACTTATGACAACAGATAATTTGCAACCATAAGGTGAGTGAGCGTAGCGAACGAACTTCAACTAGAGGCGAGTTAGCGTAGCGAACGAGCTTAACCTGAAGGCAAGTTAGCGCAGCGAACGAGCTCCAGCCTAAAGGTGAGTAAGCGTAGCGAACGAATTCAACCTGGACGTGATTGAGCCATGCGAACGAGCTCATCTTGAAAATGAACGAGCATTGACATAAACCACATTAGGACAGGACGACGACTGTCGGGCCAGCTAGTAGATTTCTATAAAACTGAATACTGTTCTCTGTACATTCTTATATACTCTTGTAATATATTCTTAACCATCGCAGCAAAACACTAGTAATATAAAACTCAAATTGTATTGGTGTTAATTTAAAATTGCATTTAAAATTGTGTAGCCTAAATTTTTTCATTAATCTATTGAAAAATACTATTGTCTCATATTGTACTAGTTTTACTTATTTTTTAGATTTCGTGATAATTTAAAACAGTATTAAAGCAAGTAGTATATAGCCTGATTCTCCTTCAACAGCAATGCTTCTACAAGTGGTACACTAATGCGTTGATTTGCTGTAGTCGCACTAGGGCGCAAACACACTGCTCTAACTCCGTTCACAAACTTAGGGGGTTTTCGGGGGGAAAATATATCCCCCCCATTTGACACTATCTTTAAAACAATAGCCCCCCAAAAAATAACGATCAAAAATAAGAAATAAATGTGGGGGAACGTCCCCTCAAACCGCCTAAAGTTTTTGAACGGGCTACAATGCTGGATAAGATAAATACATTTAAAAACTACTTGACACAATCAAATTTGTATCAATACTGTATAATCTATGTACTTTCTCCCCTATCTCTGTATTTATGAGCCGTTTTCATTGTTTTTCAAAACTCGACTTTTTTCGAGAGACGTTGGAATCTATACTCTTCCTCGATGTCCTCGCAGGTTTGTCAGATCCCCGTCTTTGCTGCAACAGTTTTTCTTCTGTGTCAAAGAAGTGGTTCCTAGGCAGCAGCTTTGCAGATGAAGAAGACGTTACTTGACCTTCCCATTTGTTGTTATCTCTGTCAGTTAAGGTCACTCTTCCTGTAGGTTGTCCTTGATGGAAGTCACATTCCAGAATCCCGACTCCTGGATGGCCTAACACTCCGGGACCGCTGTACCTCCCATCCTCAAGACTTCCTTTGTACCAACTCCCGTCTGGAGAGGAAAGTTTCTCGGCTTCCACCAGGACGTCGTTCTCCCATTGACCAACGAGGCAGCTTCCATCGGCCACAAAGTACTTCCCTCTACCGTGGCGAAAAACTTTACCCTCAATGGTCAGACTGAACTCACCAACGTACACGTCTCCGTTTGGAAATCTAAAAACGTCTTTTAACAGTAAATCTTTAAGCAGTTCGGGGTCAATTAATGGTTTCTTCGCTGGCTCTTCTTTTTTCTTTTTTTTGGGTGTGCGTGGTTTCCGCTTCTTTCCCATTTTGAAACTTCGTATCGTATTAATAAAACAAATTTATAATAGGTTCATGTTTAATTTTGACCAGAAGAATACAAATAATGAGATTGTTAAAATTAAACAGATATAATCATGAACTTATAATTTATTGGTAGCAATTATTTTGTAATATTTCTGTGTTTTGTTGTATCTATGTAACGCTGTAAAATTACAATTTTAGACTTTGCTTTGGTCTCACTATACATAAAACACTATACATTCATAATGAGTTTTTTTGGGAACAGCCTGTCAAAAACTGGCGTTACTCTTTTTACAGTAGAAGACAGCAGCAAAAGTGCATTATGTAGACATTAAGGACTTAAGACTACTCCAAAAAAGATCTGTATACTTGTGCTGTGGGAAATGGAAACAATGTTCAAAGCCTTAAATGCAAAACACTAGGCAATATCCCTGGATACCAGTATGTAAAGGCATCCTGTCACTGGGCTTAGATGTAGCTATTTATGACCCAAAAGAAGTTAACCAAGTTTGCTTGCCAGAAAAAGCTGTAAACATGCTATTTTCTTAGCAGATTTTGTATTGTATGTTAACAGTCAATTGGATGTTTGTGTGCGGAGAAGAGATCGGGCCGTCCTCAGAAGAGTCTGACATAGGCCTGACGCTGTAGAAGAATCGAAGATAAGTTTGTATTAGCCATTAGTTGACAGAAATTGTGGTACTCAACTATAAAACTGAGACAAAACATAACCTTGACAAATCAAACTTATAACCACACCCTTTCCATTGTTGTAACAATCAGCTGTTTGAAATCACGGAAACAGAATTGCCAACCGTTTAGTTTTGCACCATTATTTTTTTATTTACTATGTTGTTGATTAACTATGATGTTTTCACATTATAGGAAAGCATAATACTTCCTACATTCGACTGACCTGCAGATGTTTTGCAAATAGTGTACGCTCAGTTTGTGGCTTCTTTCTGTGTAACAACCCTTCAGACCTCCGTGGACCTTTAATGGAATTTGATATAGAGGTCTACTTGAACCTTCCCGTAATTTTAGTAGGTAAAATAAGAATAATATCTATAGGTCGGCCGCTTAGAAAACGACCTCCTCCAGCATTGGTTTAGCATTAGCGCGCAGGTCGTTTTCTAAGCGGCCGAACTATAGTCAGGTAAGAATAAGGAATACCTAACTTTTTGTTACAGACAAGTGGTAATGTTTTATCGCAGTACCGTTCTTTTGGTCACCTATATACTATGGTCAAACCATCGAAGTATATAGTCTAACATCTCAACTCGTTAGGTAATTCATCGATGGGTCAAACCTATTCAATGGTCACCAAACAAAAATCTTCACATAAAACACATAATAATCATGTTTTGTTGCTTTTTTTATAAACACTGGAATTTCGCGAATCTTAACGTGTTGGTTAGGAATAATGATTGACAACGAGGAAAGCGCGAAGGGCTATAATTTAAAGGCGGTAGGCTGTGGTTAGACGGAACCGAAACTAAAATCACCGCTTCTGGGAGCTACAAACACTGGTGTTAATTATAACGGAACCGCTGCAGCCATCCCAGTTAAAACAAGTCGGTCGGAAGTTACATAAGCTTCACATAACAGATTAATATACTAGGTTACCACACAACCTCAATTGGAGGCTTCCCACGGACTGAACCTGTACTTGGACCAAAACCAATCTGAGGCGGAGTTGAATCTTTTGTGGCTGGAGTGATTAAAGCTTCATCAACAGTCACTATATACGATTGCTAATCAAAGTATAGTGCTATGAACCTTTGAGAACTCTACACGATATTTCTACTAATCAGAATGTAAACCACAAGGATGTTTCTTGTAGATGGCGGTAGATTAAGAATATAAATGAAAAATAAAGATTTCATTGAGCCTAAGACGTAAATAATTATATGTATGTAAAAAAATTTAAGTACCATATAATACAAACAGTTACTATTGAAAAGAGGTGTTATCTTTCAAGTGCAACACTGT